GTGTGTGTGTGTGTGTTAAATACCGGGGAGGATGACTCCGCTCTGCAGGATGAAGCAGCCTGTCTGTCTTTATATTCCCGGTCTGTTCTGGTCCAGTTCGGTTCGGGTCGGCTGGGTTCGGCTCGGCTCGGCTCGGTCCGGACTCCAGTCTTCAGGATCGATCCGGATCCAGGTGCAGGTTCTTTAGCAGGATCAGAAAATCCGCAGAAATGAGGCTGCGCTCCGTTTCTCTGCGTCCTCATCCAGACTGTCACACCACGGAAACGACCGCACACTGAGCTTCCGGAGAGCATTTCAAGATAAAAGCGGAAATATTTACAGTGTCTTATGTTTCATTTTATATTTTTAATCCAAGTAAAACCTCACAGCATATCTCATTATTGTTTACTGAATGTTTTATCTGGTTTAAATTCTCTTTAAATTGATGATTTTGTGTTGTATTGTGAAGGACAACTAACATTGGTAGTAAAACAATTATTATTATTGTCATTAATATGAATATTAATATTCATATTAATAATAATAAAAGTCCTCCCATTAATTAAAGTAACTCAGTTGTTTTGTGTCACATCGTTACAGAAATAGATATATAATATAATGCTTTTTGTTTTGATTTAAATATAATAAATTATTTTAGTTCTAAAGCACCTTTTAAAACACAGTGTTTCATATATCTGATAAAAAAAACACCTGTGAAATACAAACATAAAGTATTTTATTATTTATTATCAGACGCCCAAATAATTCTTAATGATCCTCCAAAGTGTAAAGATTTAATGTTAGACTCTTAAAAGTTCTATAAACTGAATCACAGCAGCAACAATTCAATTATTTATTTTACATTTATGTAAGCAGGAAGTTCTTCGACCCGACTGAGGCAGCAGACCAGTTATAATTAAAATAGGGACCATATCATTAAGATGAAGTAAGTAAAGGAAACCTCTGGAACCTGGTGAGTTCTCGGGCACGAGATTTCATAAATACGTTTAAATAATTATTAATTATTAATCAGGAATGTTTCTGTCATTTATAAAAAATAAGTTAAAATTATTAGTAAAAGCAGCGTAAACAAGAATCTTTTTTAACTTTCGATGTTAACTGTTAGAATAACTTATTGCATTAAATGGTTTTATGCTTCAATTGTTTGAGTTAAAAAACGTAAAAAAAGGGTTTAAATCAATCGGTTCCCTCAAAGAGTTTAAGTTAAACAAACATATTGTGACAGCAGGAAGGACGAGAAGATAAAAAAGTTTATGACTAAAAAAATAAAAAGAACAAAAACACTGTAAGAAACAACAATTAAATGTAATCTGAAACTTCACCATTAAATTCTCCACACTCGTCCTTTAAAGAGGTTTTTCTTTAGATAAAACAGACTGTGCAGAAAGAGGAAAAGAGAGAGAAAACAGAGAAAACATTGTGAAACTGTAGAAAACCTACGATTCCCAGAATGCACTGGGCCCGTTGCTTTCTAAGACCAAGACCAAAACTTCTGTATTTTAATATTCATGATGTTATAAAGTTTATCATATCATGGTTCTTTGTTTTTATTCTATTTTATTCTTCTTAAATGTTGTTACATGTTTTTCCTTTGTAGAATGAATGTGTTGAAGATAAAATAAACCTTTATTAATCTCTGCAGGGAACAGCAGAAGAAGAATGGATTAGTAATCTATCAATAAATAATCTATCAATAAATAATCTGTCTGATATTGATGGATATTTGTTGGTGTGTTTCAGGGTAAATTAAAGATTATTAAAGGTTTTATTTAGTCCAACAAACACGTGATCTCTAATGAACTCAAATTCTGTTCTTTTATTTTGAAAGTAACTGTACTCCACTTCCTCCCTCCTGTCAGACCTCTCTCTCTCTCTGTCTCTCTCTCTCTCTCTCTCTCTCTCTGTGTCTCTCTCTGTCTCTCTCTCTCTCTCTCTCTCTCTGTCTCT